CAGCACACCTTTTATGAAGCAATGCTCTGCATACCCTTCACGTTGGTGAGTCGTCGCACTCTATCCCTACAATCAGTTTTTCATCTCTGTTGCCCCCATGGACTTGCTCTCACCAAGATCACCTGTTCAAGCCCCAGAGTCTGCAAGGCATTTTATGCTGCTGATCGCTCCTTCCTTGGTGCAACTCTGCTTTGCCACCTGATTCTCCTCTGGTTTCCCTCTGGTCTTACTCAGCCTCTGCTTTGCTCCTCCCGCTCCGGGAGTGACTTCATCCAAACCCCATCTTTAAATGCTACTCATACCACACAACCCCACAAATCTTTATTTACAGCACAAATCCCACCCCCCATGATTCTAGATCCACACATTCAAACGGAGAGGCACTCCAAAACAATGTATTTGAGACTGAACTCATCCTCTTCACCCCAGATCTGCACCTGCTGCATTCCTTATCCCATTTCGTGGCACCATGATCCACCAAAATGGCCCAACCAGGAACCAAGTGTCACCCTAGCCTCCTCATTGTTGTTCCCACCTGCCCCTTACATCTAACGAGCAACTGAATTCTGCTGGGCATGTTCTTTTAGGCTCTGCCCTATCTGCCCTGAGCCCTGCACATCTATGCAGTGTTCACTGTTCAAGTCTGCATCACTATGTTCACAGATCCTTACAATGGTCTCCTAACCGCTCTTCCTGCTGCCACCATGGGCCTCGCTGAGCCCATCCTTCCCTCGGTTACACAAGTCGTATCTTTAAAACCTAAATAAACATCATGTCACCCCTCCTCTTGAAATCCTCTGATGGTCCCCATGATGTTCATAATTGCATCCGCATTCCTTCGTTTACACAAGTTGTTCGGAGTGGGCTCCTGTGACTCTCAATCCATCCAGTCTTTTTATTCAGAAACAGAAATTTGCATGGACTTTTTGAAATGCAGTTTAGCAATGCATGCCTTTGAGGTTCATATCAGCATATAATTTGGTGGAGAGGTTGCTAAACATGACAATTTGGTTGAAACCCTAGTTTCCAGTTTTGGTGTACCATAATAATGCCTCGCAACTCTCATCCAGCTACGAGCTATCAATCATTCAGTCAATCATTTCTTCTAAGGATTTTTGGGAAGAGTTGAAAGTTAGAATAACTCAAAAGCATGAGTTGGAACAAACTAAATATCCAACATCATAGGACTAATCAAAATAATCTAAATATCCAACAGTTATTGAAATTTCTTAAATAAGACATGGTGGGTTACATAATGGTGTGTATGCTATCCTCCCCTTTTAGTAGAAAACATAGTTACATGTGTGTTTAAATCTTCATTAGGAAGGATCTAAAAGAATATATGCTAAAAGGTTGTCAGTAGTTCTGTGTGGGTGGGATTTTAGACATTCATTATGTTCTTTTGCTTATCTGTATACTCTGATTTTTTAAAATAATCATGTACTATTTTGTAAAAAGAAAAGACCAATAGTTGATCCATCAAAATGATCAATATTAGAAAATAAAAAACAAATATAATCCCCTTACCAAGATGTTTTTACAGGAACACCTTAATCCTATAATTTTTGACTCTTTTCTCCAACACGCAATTTCCTCAAACTGAAATGTCCTTCCTCATCCCTCACCCCTATGTCTCGACTTTTTTTAGCCATGTATTTTCTCTGTTCTTTAAAAATCCAAATCACCTTCCCTGAGAAGCTTTTCTTGACCTCTTATCTGCTTTGACCAAAGGTTTACGGTAAACTGGTGACAAGTTTGACTGGCTCACAAGTAAAATCCATCCAACACCTATTTAAGAATAGCCTGCAGACTAAGAAATGGTAGAAAAATGGTACAAAAAATGGTAGAGAAATGGTAGAGAAATGGTAGGGAAAAAATCGAAAAATAAAATTAACAACACATGAAAAGTGTACAAAATTAAACTCTTAGTGTCTATAAAGACATGCTCATTCATTGTGTATCATGTATGGCTACTTTCACCCTGCAGAGCAGAGTTGAATAGTTGAGACAGAAACCAAACAGCCCACAATGTTTCAGTCATTTGCTCTGTAGCTCCTTGCAGAAAAATTTTGCCAACACTGGTTTTGATGATGAGGCTTCTTCAGTGACCACACAGGACCCTCTACCTGCCTCTCACTCAGATCTTGCCACATATCCCACAAGGGGTGATTTTCTTAGGATTCCCACTAGTTTTAGGTGCAGAACACTTTCTAATTCAACTTGCTTGATCGTCCCACCACTGAGCAAAGTGCCTCAGACACAGGAGGCTCTTGATAAATAAATGCATAAGTGTGAAGTAATGGTGTAAGCTCCCTCCACTGGAATGTAAGGTACACGAGGTCAGAGGTTCTACCTCCTTCATTGGCTGTGTGTCCTTGGTATCCAAGAGTATCTGGAACAGGGTGGGTACTCAGAAAATATCTGTGGAAGTTGTTTAGTGCATCACTGTTGGTGTTACATTTCTGAGATTTATAATTCTTAGTCTTTATATCATGCTTTTTGATGGAAATGAAACTACTTCCTAAACCTCAGAACAACAAAGAAAAAGACAATGTTAACTTTGTCACAAAAGGATATAGTTAAGGAGTATTTTTAAGAATATATCAATTTACCCCAAACTTCATAGCATAGCAGCGTGTTGCTACATCCTTCTTTAGCTCATTCACAGCAACTACAACTGGGCAGGTATTAAATCAAGATCCTGCTGACACTGAGTTATTAAATACCTGTGGCAGCAGGGCCCTCGGAGCCAGCAAGACTCAGCATCCTGGCCCCACTGCAAATCGGGATGAGGTATTCTTTAAGAGATTAATGTGCAGATGCAAATCATAGCCTAAACACTTCATCTGGGCTTGGACAGCGTCACTTCTAGTGAGCCAAAAGTTCTTTATAGAGGATGAACTAATCAGTATTCATACTAACTCTACGAGTTCACAGGGTGATGAACTAAGGATCTCTGCCTTATGCTGAATAACGCCTTCCATGTTTACGGAATTGCCTTCCGAAATAACATTCTAGAAATGTTTTCCTGAATGACCAGGGTATTCACTTAGTATCTGATCATATCATACTTGTCTTGCTATAGGCTTTATAATATTTCACTTTGTAGATTGAGTGTGAGGACTTTATTTCATTTTGCGATGCACCTAGTGAGTGTATACTGCTCTTCCCTGAGCCAAAAAAGCTCCAGCAAGGCAGCCTTTTAAAATGCAAAGGAAACAATATTTATCTCCCAATCACTCCTGGTGAGAAGGCCTGGCCAGGCTCCCCAACCCGCCAGCTCCTCTTTCCCCCTCTTTGGGCGGGGTAGCCGCACACTCCCTTTCTAGGATTCATGCGTGTTTTTTTCAACAAGCCAGTGTACGAACAACCACTTGCTCCTCGGCCTCATCGTGATGGAATTGGAAGCTACTCCCATTTAGAAGAGCCTTATCCTCCTATACACACAAGGGTCAGGGGAAGGGGAGGTCTGACTTGGTTCTCTGTTCTACATTTGCACACACACATACACAGGCACGCATGCATGCGTGCACATGCACACACGCACATGCACCTTTAAAAGACCTACGTTTTCGTTTTTATTTCTTTGAACGACAATAATGGGCATGATTGTGAATACTAATGAAAACAGTGAAAATAGTGCAGTCACTACCAAAGGAAACTGAAATCCCCACCATTGTTCTAAGAAAGGGTCAACTTGGGGAGGCTAGATCAGAGAGGCACAGAGGGGCACGGGCTGTAGAGTCAGAGACAGCCAGTTTCACAAGCAGCCTCACCCTCTCTGAGCCTGTGTTTCCTCATCTGTAAAGTGGGATAGTAGCTTTTCGTGCAGTTGTGAAAAGTTTCTGAGACAACTCAGACAGTTCAGAAAATGCCAGTCGTTCTCCACACAAAATCAGGACACAACCTAGCTCACAGACCTCTAGAACCCTCTTTAAGAAAAATTTTCAGTTGTTCTTATTAAGAAAATGGCGGAACAAAAGAAACAGGCAAAAAGATGCAGACCCAAGAACTATTGGAGAATTTTCTAGTGAAAGTATGTGAAGCAAACAATTACTGAATGGGTGGCCCAGAGGGCTTCCCAGGACCACAAAGTGAAGAGAAACACTGCTAATTGTGGTTATTACAAGGGACTTTAAAATAGATCTGTAGCTTTTATAAACTGGAGGGGAGCATTAAACCAAAAAGAATGTAATCTCTGAGAGGTTTTTCTCATTTGAATTCAGATCTTTCTTGAGTGAAAGGGGGCGAGGGTTGAATGATACTCTGAAATTACAGACACACGTGTCCTTGTCCCTGGATGTGTATCGTAAATATTGACATCACCACTATGTGCGTAGGGCACCGAAGGCTGAGACTCACTGGACTAGAGCGTGTCCAAGGAGAGCTCAGAAGGAGAATCTTGAGCGTCAGCCACAAGAAAGCTCCGAATTCAGGAATGTTCCTAGCACTTACTTCCTGTTTACCAAAGAACTTTCTAACTTTCAATTTTTCTTCTTCCAGAAATAGTTGATTTTGATTATAAATGACTGCATTGACCTATCAGCCTTATGGGAACATGGGGGTGTCAGCTGATATCCTGGGTCTAATATCTGTGCCTCCAGGATGTGAATGATCTTTCCCTAGTCTTTCTTGAGTTTTTACGGCACTGTCGAGAAGACTTTAAAGAAAATTTTTGATTCCAGACTTTAGGAAGAGCGCTGATCAAATATTCATGGAAAACAAAACAAAACAAAACAAAACAAAGAAAGGCAAATGGTAAGGACCCGAACCCTTTTTGGGTGAGAATGTAATATTTTTAAGATTTAGCAACATTACATGCACACCTGAAAATGTTATCAACTAAACAAAATAAAGAAGACAAAAAACTTCAATCCAAATTTATTGGGATTACAAAAATAACAGCACATTTCATTAACTCATTACAACCCAGAGCATCAACACATCCAAAGATATGAAGACTATCTTCAAATAAACTGCTTCCAGCCAATACAAATCTCATGACATAAAAAAGAAGTTTATTTTCATATTTACAGAAGAAACATGCTGATTGTTTCTTAAAATTCTCTTTGGAATTAATGGGCGAGGCTATTTTTAAAGACAGAGAACGTTGCAAATTGAAGAAGGTATTTTAGAAACATCTCACAATGCATTTTATTTAATACCGGTGAATAATTCTGCATCCTCTTCTAAAGACTGTGTTTTTATCGCAGAGCATCTGGAAGTTCCACCTACAAAAACAGGGGATTTTCTTTCAATAAGAACAGTACAAATAATGAAGTGAAACGCACGTGTAAAGCAGGCCTCGAGCAGTATTCTCTAAAAGGAACTCAGATATAGGTTGACTATTGCTGCGTAGTATTCAAATGCGGTTACACACTGGGCTCGAAACCACGGGCAACTCTGTGGTAAAAACTTTCACCAGGGACCAACGCTTTTCGGAACGCAGGCCATGCCCCCTGGTTCTTTAACTCGGGGAGTCCGGAGCGTCTCTCAGCGCGCCCGGGCCTCGCGGGCCCGAAGGGCGGTGCCCAGGCTCCGCCGCCGCAGCGGAACGGGCTCCCGAGCGCCCGCTCCGGGAGCACGGACGCGCTGAGCCGCTGCTTGCCTATTAGGATATTAAAATAGCAGAAGTGTTCGGGGAGGCAGCTTCGGTACCTCGTGCAATGGGGGCCCGGCCCCCGCAGCCACCCGGGGCCCAGGGCCCGCCGCCGGTACTCACCCGCCGGAGCTGCCTCAGGCTGCTCCCCCGAATGGCTTCCATGAGGCTGTCGTGCGCCGACCTCTGCGGGGTGGGCGGGCGGGAGCTGTCTTCCGTTTTCTTCTCCTGCACGGACCTCAGGGAATTTTTTATTTCCTTTAGGATGTTTGGCTGTTTCTTAACCTTTTTCCCTTTTTTCTTTTTCTGTCCATTTTGTAACGCCAGCTGGGCGCTCTCCTGCTGTTTGATGACCTCGGCGATGTTCCGGGTGATGAGCTTCTTCTGTGGGGGGGGCGGCGGCGGCGGCGGCGGCGGCGGGGGCGGCGGCAGCCTCTGCGGAGGCGGCGGCGGCGGCGGGGGCGGCGGCGGCGGAGACGCGGGGCGGCTCCTCGCGGCCTGGACTTTCTTGGGGAGTCTCGGGGATGACCAGGGAGACTGCCGGGGGGACGCGTACGGGGAAGAGCCCGGCGTCCCTCTCTGCCAGGCGGCGGTCCTGAGGCCGGCTCCCCCGTCGGGGCCCTCGTGCTGCCTTTGCTCCTGCATCCGCTTCTGCCTCTGTTTATCCATGTTTCGGGTCAGGAGGCTGGTCATGCTCATCCTGGGCCCCGGGAGCTCGAAGTGGTAGCCCAGCCGCAGCAGCGTCGTGTTCTCTTTCAGCAGCTTGACGATCTCCATCTCCACCTGGCTGCCCATGATGTGCCTCTGGTTGTGGAAGCGCAGCTCCGTGAGCACCGTGTTGCACTGCAGGGCTCGCACGAGGGCCAGGACGCCCTTGCCCGTGATGAAGTTGGACTCGATGTTGACGCTGGTGATGTGCTGGTTGACGCGGAGCATGTCGGCGATGGCCAGGGCGGCGCTGTCGTCCGCGTGCGTGTTGGCCAGGCTGAAGGTCTTCACCGCCGTGTTGCCCTTGAGGGCCTCGGCGAAGCGGGCGAGCGTCTGCGAGGTGAGGTTCTCGATGTTGTTCAGGTTGACCTCCGTCGTGTCGGGGTCGTTGTTCTTGACCCTCTCCAGGGCGTCCTCTATCACCGTCGGGTTCCCGGAGCGGTGGACGGCCGCCGGCGGCTCTGCGTTCCTCCCACGGTGGCCGTTGGTCAAGTGTACGTTTTCTATTTGACTTTTAAAAGTCTTTGACCTTGAGTTGTCAGAATCGACACTATCGTAATTTACATTTCCATTAATCTCTTTCTCATCTTCAGTCGCGCTTTCCTCTTCGTGGCTGCCCTCCTCGTCCTCCTCGTCCTCGTCGTCCTCGTCCTCGTCCTCCTGCTCCTCCTGCTCCTCTTCAGTGTACACCTCCTCAGAAACCTCGCTGTTGCTTTCGGTGAAGACAAGCTCCTCCTCACTCTCCTCTTTGTCGTCTTCTGCAGCCTAAAGAGCATGGCATCGTCATTAAGGTTCTCATTCCTAAGCACATGTTGTAAATTTACAGAAGTAACATGGTTCCACAAGATATACACACGTCACATCATTATGCTGTACACACAAAAACTAAGACATTGTTATATGTCAGTTATACCCAATAAATAAAAAAGTAACAAACACATGGCAAATAGTACAAAAATATGTAACGAGAAAAGTTAATTTCCTGGGTGACCAAGCTTAACATTTCATTGCATAACTTTCAACAGCTTTTTCTAGCATTTCTTTTGTTTCTGTGGAATAGTCAGAATTCAATTTATTGAATTAAAATTTGCTATCATTTTGCCACTTTGAACAAATAATTTGGAACTTATTGGGATATATTTTTCATTCTTTTAATTACCTACTCTGACCTACTTGACCCCTAGTCTATTTACAATTTGTCCAATTCAAACCTCCCTTCCGGAATCACCTCTCACCCCTCCGTCCTTGCTTATTTCTCCATCCCAAACAAACGAATGGCAACGAAAACCACACAACAGGTTAATGGGTTCCCTTTCTTAATGTTCAAAACTTTCCCCCAAACATCTCTTATAGCAGAGGCGTCAGGAGCGAGGTGGTCTCTGCCCCACCCCCCACCGCAGCAGGGGCAGAGGCAGGGGTTTCATTTGCTTCTCCAACATTTATCTAACTCGGAGGCAGGGCCTGGCACAGGTTCTGGGAGCCCCACGCCGCCTGTGAGCTGCTGCTGTCCCTGTCCTGCCCTGGGAGAGGAAGCCACGCAGGCAGGGTGGCCATCAGGGCAGCAGCAGAGGAACATTTAGGTCGCCCTTTTCAGCAAATCAACTTGAAATCTCACGCTAGCTCAGGGTTAAATGAGACGGACTACAGAAGACAGGCGGTGAGAAAGGTAATCACCCTTGGCTCTCACTAGCCTCTAACCGTAATGAGGAACAGCAGAGGACAGTAGAAAATCTTGAAGTAAGCCATTGCCTCAGCCTGATGGTCTTCAATTATTTACCATGCATCAATTATGAAAGACTTTCAGGCAAACTCCATTTCATTCTATCTTTGTCTTTCCTATTTATAAGACTCCGCACTAAGAAGTCCAACTGACCCCTTCTCTGTTTTTCTTGCTAACTTTTCTGATTAAAAAAAAAAAGAAAAGAAATTGGAAATTGCTGACCAAGCTAAATTTTCCGTTGTCTCTCCCCTGTCCCCAAAACCTAGATTCTTCCCTCTACATCGGCAACTTTTTTTTTACCCTGAGGGCTCCTGCTGCCTGAGGCATGTGGAATGAGCTTTGAATAACACTGCTTGTCTCCAGGTTTGTTTGCCCAGTTGCTATCACAAAATAGCCTCCAGTTATCCACTTGTTTGGAGTGGCAGGCACCAAGTGATGGCCTGGGGAAGGGGTCAGCCGCTCCTGGGATGGCCTGTCCAGTCTTAACTTACACCCTTCTTCAAGATCAGGCAGAGAACACACACTGTGTGTGTGTGTTTAGCTGTTTCCATATTTGTAGGAAGGCCTGTCTCAAAATTCAAGGTATACTGCCCTTGATGCCACTTTTAAATTATATCCACTTTGGTTTTTATTGATTTTAGAGAGAGAGAGAGAAACATGGGTGTGACAGAGATACATCAGTTAGTTGCCTCCCTTATGCACGCCCGACTGGGGATCGAATCTGCAAGCTAAATATGTGCCCAACTGGGGATAGAACCTGCCGCTTTTTGGTGTTTGGGAGGATGCTCCAACCAACTGAGTCACCCAGCTAGGGCTATCCACTTAGGTTTTTAAAGAACTTTAGGCTTTCTCTGCAAGAGATATTTTCCACTCAAAATATACTTTATTCTAGAAAGTCTTCCTTGACACCCCCTGAAATCATCCTTGAGATTCATTCCCATGGCATTGTACTTCCCTTAAATAGTGCCTATTGTAGTAAGTTGTCATTTTCCCAAAAGACTGTTAGTGGGCTAAAGACAGTACTCAGCATGTAGCAGGGGTGGGGGGGGGGCAAGACAATAAATATTTGTTTACTGAATGGATGTAAAATGACATTGGCTAACAGCCTTTGAATCAGGACTAAGTCTAGGAGAAAGTTACTAACAGGTCAGGGTAGGGGTAGGGTGGCCGGCTGTTCCCATTTGCCTGGGACTGAAAACTATTCCAGGAAGTAGGATTTTTAATTTTAAAATCTAGATAGACCCAGACAACCTGTGATGGTTGGTCACCCTCAGTAGGGGGACATCTAGGAAAAGAACACCAAAAGGGAGAAAGCTGTCTAGAGAGGGGAGGTAGGAAGATACAAAAAATACAATCTTGGCCCACTAAATTATTCCAGGTCTCCCATCTGCCACTGCTCTGTAGTTACCCCGGACCCTTGTGAGGATGGGGTGGGCAGTGGGGAGTGTGGCGAGGCAGTGATGTGTGCGCTGTGAGAGTTAATAACTCAACGAGAAGGGGGTGGCCGGCTCCTTCTCTCCATCGCTCCCCTGGCATCATTACCTGAACAAGGAGGCAAGAGGCTTGGTTTCAGGTTCTAGTTCTGGGTCTACCCATAAAGACCTGACTTTAGACAAGTCACCTCTGCGGAAGGTGGAAGGGTCTCAATGAAACACCAATATTGTTGAGTGGGTCTCAAACTGTAGTGTGTGTCATAATCACCCGTAGGGCCTGTGAGACCACGGAACGCCAGGCCCCCTCCCGGGGTCCCTCATGTAGCGGGGCTGAGGGAGCATAGAATTAGCAGTTCCGAGAAGTTCCCAGATGATGCTGCTGGTCAGACACCCACACTTCGAGAATCGTGGTCTTTGTGCCAACAGAGCTTGGTTTGAATTTCAAGTCACTTTTAAATTCTTGATCTCAAATGCATTTCTTAACCTCCCTTAGCCTGAGCTCTCATGTGCAAAAGGTGGGAATGCAATGACGTAATGTGAGTGAGCTCGTGGGCACCTACGCCTGAGACTCAGCAGATACTCAATCCTGGGAAGTAGAGCCTTGGTCGCCACGGCCCCCTGGAGTTATTTAGTGTAGCATAACTTCATGTGAGCCCAGGGGGCAGAGGCCGTCATTCAACAGGAGTTGAACAGGATTCTCAGAAGGTTTTCCAGAGCCAGGAGCCTAATAAAAAAGACCCTCTCTCCTTCTCACCATCCCTATTGTGCTGCTCCTTAGGCTGCCGTCCCCTCCCCCACCCGCCACCCACCCATCAACTGCTTGGAGCTGTTTCCGGTGGTGGGAATGGATTTACACCCTCCACCAGCAAGCCTCTGCTCAGCACTCCTCGGGACTACAGAGACAGCTGGCCAGTGGGGGAACTGCAGTGGGAGAAAAATTAGCCGAGAAAGGAATCAAAGTTCATCAGCACGGTAGCCTCTCTAATTGAGCTGATAAGCCACTGGCAGGGATCAGCCAGACCTTTGGCAGGGTCAGGTGAGTTCCATCAACAGTGGACAACGGGCTTTGCCCTTTGTTTCCCACTGATCTTAAGACATTATGACATTAAAATGCCTTTGTTGGGTTATTGCTATAAAGGTTGTCTGTCCTCGATCTTCTGGAACAATTTCAATCTTTCTTTTAAGGAAATTATTTAATGATGTATTACAAGCGTCTTATTTTATGTATTTTGACAGTTTATATATTTTATATATTTTGACACATTCTTACTAAAGGGGGAAAAAAAGACCTCTAAAAATCGTGGCTGTGGAGGAATTGACCTTAAATCCTGGCCTGTAATGTGTGTCCTCCCTTATCACCTCCCCCTCCAGCTCTTCCCTGCAGGCGGCCACTGTGGCCTTGGCAGACCTGGGCCTGATCCCGGTGACCCTTCCTGCGATGATTGACGCAGACAAAGCTCACACGTATCTTGCTGCACGGCCCACACACCCTGTCATCAAGATCATCTAACAGAGCCTGGATTAGTCCTGTGGAAGCCTTGCCACTGGCTTCAGGCCATTTTGGTTTTAGATGATTCCCATGGAGCTCAGAGGTTTTAATCTGTTGCTCCTGATCTGTGTTCTTCCAGAAATTCAGAAATTGGTTATATTAATGTTCTTATCGCCATTGCTATTTCCCAGAACATAGCTTTTTGAACTCCTTCTGTTAGTGATTCATTTGGCAAATTTAAAGAAACTGTTTATCAGGCAGAGAACAAGAGCTTAATAGACCTATGCTCTAATATAAGTATGCATTTCCTGGCCTCAGAATCACTATTGTAAAGGAGAAAAATCTTAGAGGCCATCTGCACAGGCATGCCTAACCTGGGCCCTTGGCGGGGGGGGGTTGGATACATGTCATCGTTTTGGAATTCCATGTAGAAGTTTGTGTATATATGCACAAACACACGTGCATTTTCTTATGGAGAGGGTCCATAACTTACCAAAATCTCAAAGGGGTTTTGATTCACACACACAAGAAAACCACTGGCTCCCCAACCCTTGACAGACAGATGGGAAAGATAACCCTGCAGAAGTGACTATCTTTTCAAAGTCTAAGAACTTAGGTACAGAGAAGGGACGAGAAGTAAAGTCCCTTGACTCTCAGTCCCGTGAACTTTCCTACCACCCCACACTTCTTGGTGTTGGAAAAAAAGAAGTCTTTTTACTGTAGCCACCATCACAGTCAAAGCAACCAGAGCACCAACCATTTTCTTTATAAAAGAAAATAAATTTACTTATATTATATATAACTGATATACTATGCCACATCCCCAACATTTAATTCAAAATTAGACTTACGTTTGGCAAAATATCTAAACTTATGCCTTGCTTGTGAATTACTTTCCTCTTGAAGATTTCATCTTTAGTCAATTATAGAACCCCCACCAATCATTTTACATATTATGGTCTATTGGATGACCATAGATGTTACGTGACTATTTCAGCCTGAGACATTTTTCAGCAACAGGTTATAAGAAAAGTGCTGAGGACTGCAAAGTTAGAGAAAACAGGGTCCTAGGTTTGGGATAAGGTGGTAGGGCTGGGAGCAGCCGAGGAAAAGTCCCCAAATCCTACCTGTCCACACTCCCCCAGCCTCTCCTTCTCCAGGAGTTTTTGGGACTCCTTCTCCCAATAGGCCATCAGTGCCTCTCTGCTGAATGTCCCCGTGGGGGTTTTCTCAGTCAGACTCTTTTGTCTTAGCCCCACAGGAAGGTTGCGATCAGGTTCAATGTCTTCCAATTCCCTCTCGAGCTCCTTCAGCTCCTCAGCTGATAGGGACGCAAGGAGTTCATCCTCATCGATGGATTCGTATTTGCTAAGTCCTCTCCTGTAGCCGAAGGTAGACATGGTCCCTGCTTTGTCAGACCCAAAGGGAGCTTGAAGAACCAGGCATTCAAGGCAGCCAGGAGCAGGCAGAGAGGCAAGGCGGCAGACGGGTCAGCAACTGGTGCTAGGAGTGGCTGCGATAGCCTTTTAAGAGTGGTGATACAGCGCTGTGACAATGCAGAGAGAGGTGAAAGCATAGGCTGTTTTAAGCATCAGACGTCAGCTAGACATTTGAACACAAAGAATGTCACATCGGTGGTGGATGGAGGTCTCAGAACCAGTAGGGATTATTCACACACTGGCCAGGGACAGATTTAGCTGAGCTTGATAGCTCATGAGGACAGGCAGAGAGTGTTTCAGATAGAGAGTAACACAGTTTTTACTTTGTATTCAAACAACAGGGGAATACAGTTTATTTTGAAAGTGACTTGTTCCTACCACCGTGGCCATGAAAACATTTATTATAGTCTTAGAGGTCGAGGAATGACTACGCATCATCAATCTATGAGTAGTTTATTCGGGTTCTCCTAAAAACATATCATGGGTGGTGTTAATGGGAATAGATAGCTATAATAGCAGAGCACTTCAGCTTTTTTATTGTATTTTGTAGTTTACAAAGCACTTGAATATAATTTTCCCAATCATAGCAAGTCCTGTGAGACGACTAACTTTGTCCTGCTTTACAGATTTTGGCAAACAAGGCTCCAAGAGAGTAAGTGAAAAATTTGAAGTCAGGCCAGCCAGAGCTGCAGGAGTGCCCTGCTCTGGGCCACAAGATGGCTTCCTCCTCCTCACCACGACTGCCGGCAAACAATTAGATTTGCAAATAAAACTCCAAAAGGACAAACAATAATACTGGGTATGATTTATTAAGGACTGACACTGTGCCAGCCTAGTGTTAAGCACTTTATATATTTCATCTCATTTAATCCTACAGTTCTGTAAGGTATATATTACAACCCGTGTTTTACTAATATGGACTCAGAGAAGTCAAGTAACTAGCTCAGGGCCACGGAGCTAAGATATGGTGGAGCTGGACTTCAAACTCATATTTGTGTCTGTGCTGAAAACTGAAGAGAAGCTAATTTGAAATTATATATTTGCCTATATTATTATGAATGTGATAAAATATATAGTTCATAAAACGAAGTGTATCATTTTAGCACATGGATAAAAATCTGTTAAAATTATGTGTTAAAATATACATTTATCAATGCATGTATAAGATATAATATTTTGTTTATAGGTTCAGCAGCTGGTGAATGAATAAAAATACTTGGGTAGTTTCCAGGTTTGGATTATTATAAATAATGCTGCTATGAACATTTACATGCAAGTCTTAGTGTGGCCATGTGTTTTCATTTCTCTTGGGTTTTTCTTTCGCAAAAATGTTTTATCTAACTATTCTTATCTTAACTTGATGTCTATGTAGTAGCAGAATTGCTGAATTATATGGTGAATTTACATTTACTTTTTCCAGAAACTGACAAACTATTTTCCAAAATGGCTGCACCAATTTACATTCCCATGAGCAATGAAGAGAGTTCTAGTCATATCCTAATTTGCTATTGCTTTTGTTTTCTGATTATAGCCATTTTAGTGGGTATAAAATGGTATCTCATTGCAGTTTTAATTTTCATTCCTCTAATAATTAATGATGTTGAGCATCATTTCATGTGTTTATTGGCTATCTTTTTTTTAAAATTTTATTTTATTTTTTCAAAATTTTGGCTATCTTATATCTACTTTGGTAAAATAGTTATTCAGATCTTATGCTCATTTTAAAAATAATTTGCTGCTTATTGGGACATATATTTTTCATATATTCTGGACTGTATGAGATGTATGATTTGCAGGTATTTTCTCTCATTCCGTGGTTTGCCTATTGGTGTTTTTTGAAGAGCAAATGTTTTTAATTATGATGAAATCCAATTTATCAATTTTTTTATCCTGCTGCTTGAGCTTTTGTAAGATATCCTTTCCTAGCTCAGGGTCAGAGAGAACTACAACTATATTTTTTCTAAGTGTTTTATAATTTTAGGTTTTTATATATAGGTCTGTTACCCATTTTGACTTAATATTTGTATATATGTAAGGTAAGAGTCTAAATTCATCTTTTTGCAGGCAAATATCCAATTGTCTTAGCACTTCTTTTTAAAGACTATGTTTTTCCCTATTAAATTGCATTGGTGCCTTTGTAGAAAACTAATTGTCCATAAATGTAAGGGCTTCTTTATGGACTTTCAGATCTGTTCTATGGATCTGTGTCTATTTTCTTATGCCAACACCACATGGTCTTAATTACTATAGCTCTGTAGTACATATTGAAATCACAAAATTAAGTCCTTCAACATTTTTCTTTTGCAAAAATTGGCTAATTATTACTATCTTAACTCCTTATGATATACTGCCTCCAAAAATAACTATGACTCTTCCCAGTGCTACTAATGAGAGAGATAATTATGAAATTAGAAATCAGTTCATTGGATTTTTTTTATGGCCTGAGCATCTACTTTTATGTAGCCTTAATGGTAACACATCTTTTTTATATGAAAATGGTTTGATTTTTGGAAATGCCATCGAATTCTTATAGCCATGCCTGGTGATTAAGATGAGTTATTCAGCTGTATAATGACATTTTAGGTAAAAGAAAATGAATGATAATCACAACGATATGAAAACGTATGTGCTTTTAAAAAAAAAAGATGAGAACAAAATATATGAAAATGATAGCACAAGTTTAATCCTTTAATAATTATGCATTGACCCATATGATATGTGCAAATTTGGGAAAATGTAATTTTGTACAAAAATAGTGGAACTGTGTTTTACTCTCTTTCTTTCTTTCCTATTTTTAATTTTTCTGTAACATTTTAATATTATTTTTATTTGACAATTTATTAAGCACACACTACGTGTCAGGTTCTATTTTAAATGCTGGGATTGAAGCAGTGAAGAAAACCAACAAAGCCCCTTCCTTCATGGAGTTTATATTCTATCAATTGTTGGAGGAGACAAGACAATACGAGTATATAAATGACCAAGTATATATAGACTGTATCAGACAGGAGCTCTATGGAGAGAAACAAAGTAGGGTGAGAGAGCAGAAAGGAGAATGTGGAGATAGTATTTCATGTAGGGAAGATCACTGTAATAAGGTGACATTTGAGCAAATACCTAGAAAAGTAAGGGTTTGGTGTGTGCAGATTATAATACTACACATTTAATGTGATTATAAAATAATTACTTAGATATTCTTGGAATCACAGATTATCAGATTTCAAAGGCCCTTTGAAGTACATGAATCCCCTCTTTATCACTTCTGTTAAGTGGTCACCTAGTGACTATCTGAACACTTTCAGTGAAAATTTTACATCACAAAAAATTCATTCCCTTGTTGGATGGCTCAAATTATTACAAAATTCTTATTTCTATTGTATTGAAACAGATCTCTTGAAAAGCCAGCCCATATATTTTAGTTTTCTCACTAGGATAACACAGCATAGACATAGTCTCATGTGAGTTTCTTCTTACAAATCTTGGGTGGTCCATGAATGACTATGAAAATGACTCCAAAAGAGGAAATATTAAAGTGCTTGTCTGTGGCAGTGTCATTGAAAAAAAAATCTCTTAAAAACACTACCTGAAAACATTTAGAATTTATTTAGAATATATCTAAATTGTCATTTAGATATCCTAGTGCATATGTTACAAATCACTCTGATTATAATAATCACAGTTCATGGGTGATCTTGGTTCACTGGATCTCCCTTTAAATATTCTCTACAAACTTTAAGTTTATTGAATATAATTCTGCTGAGTGACCAAACACCACCACCTGACCCCAGGCTAGACTAAGTATGATGAATAATTTAGATTTCTGTGCAGCCTGGTCTACGGTGATAGGAAAAAATGAAATCATATTCTTGGCATCGGCATTTTCTGTTCTGGGATTTTTATTTGAGCACATTGTGATTTTGAGTAGAGTTGCTTTTAGATCTTTTTCAAGGTAAGCATCTTTTTTTTTTTTAAGAAAATCTCTATTGTGGGAAGAATCATCTTAATGGTTCCTGACTGACGATCAAATATGCACTCTACTTCCCTGTATGTTGACAAATGCCCTTTTTAGTGAAAACATAGTTTCTTCTTTCAACCTGTATTTTCTTTGGTTTCCTCTCAAAAATGCTATTATTTGTTTATTCAGCACACATTTACCAAGTACCTGCTGTGTGGACAGGTTCTGTGCTGCTAGGATTACATACAGAAAAATAAAAATGATCTGGCCCCTGCCCTCAGGAGTTCATACTCTGGGGACAAAGTCAGACAGCTGACAGCAACAGAGCGCAGTGTCGGCTCGCCAAGGTGCCGGCAAGAGGAGAACGGTGGACTGCAGATGAAGCAGCAAGGTGGTCCGAGTGGGAGGAGTTGCAGAAGGCACAGAAGTTGGTAAAGAGCTTTCCAGGCAGAGAGTGGGCTCTGAGCAAACCACAGGAGTATCAAAACCGAAACCCAAACCAGGTATTTGGCGTAGGGCGGGGAATAAGCAGAGACAGCCCAAGTAGCACGGCTGGTTATTGTACTACATCAAAAAGAATGCTTTGGTATCTTGACCCCTCCTCCCCCTCCCATCTCTCTTTCTCACATTTTCTCTCTGTTTCTCCGAACAGACACTAGCATCATGCCTGGCACCTAGTAGATGCATATAGATGTTGAGCATTTTTTATTTGAAGGGTCATGTCAAGGAGTTTTGGACCTTTTTATTATCTACTGTTAAGTAGAAATCTCTATCATTACCCCGGAGCCACCATTCATAGCCATAGTTTGCCTTCTTAAATGTAGGCCACTGTTAATCCTAGCAAATGTCAGGGTAATAACGAAGACTCAACAAGAGTAAAACTCATCAGTGTCTCCCCAAATCAGCAGCACCAGCCCTGACAGCAGATCTGGTATTTCAAAAAGTAGTATTTATAGGCAGTGATTGGAGACCTTCTAACTCCACTTGTACTGACTTCAGCCTAACACTCTAAATAGCAGGCGACTCCCACAGCCTAAAGGCGAGTTACTTAGCTTGTTGCTGATGTCCTTTTGATTCTGTTAGAAGTGATGAGAGGCCCTACCAACTGTTTCTTCATTTTCTTTAATAACCTCCAAATTTCAAGAAGAATTTGGTAAT